GCTCCCCGCGCCGGCGCTCGGGCTGCCGTGGGGGACTCTGGGTAACGTAGTTTGGGGGTGGGGCCGCCCCGCTCCCGTCACTTCCCAGTCGCTGCGGCTCCAGCTTGGCCCGGCCCGAGATCGAGACCCCTGCCAGCTCCGCCGCGCCCCCTGCTCCCGCCCCGTAGCCTCCCTTCCCTGCCCGCGGAGCTCCCGGAGACCCCGACGCCTGCGTTCAAGCTCCCCCACCCCTCTTCCGGGCAGCATGGAGCAGTACCAGGGCCTGACGGACAACGAGCTCATTGCCAAACTCAAGAGCTACCAGATCTCGCACGGGCCAGTCGTGGGTATGACCAGCTCCGCCGCGCCCCCTGCTCCCGCCCCGTAGCCTCCCTTCCCTGCCCGCGGAGCTCCCGGAGACCCCGACGCCTGCGTTCAAGCTCCCCCACCCCTCTTCCGGGCAGCATGGAGCAGTACCAGGGCCTGACGGACAACGAGCTCATTGCCAAACTCAAGAGCTACCAGATCTCGCACGGGCCAGTCGTGGGTATGAGGGGGCGGAGCCACGGGGGTCCCGATGTGGGGCGAAGGGGGTTGCGGGTCGGGAGTGAGGGGTCGGGCTATGGGGGCTCTGACCCTCCCAACCCCTCGCCCAGGCTCCACACGGAAGCTCTACGAGAAGAAGGTTTACGAGGTGGAGCGGCAGCGCACGACGCAGCGGGGCCCGGGGGAGCCTCCAGGTGAGTGACGGGTTGAGGGGAGACGGGGAGCCTCGGCCTGGATTGATTCGCCCTTGTTCCCCTCTCCCCCCTGCAGAGCCCCTCACTACTGAGACCTTCATGAGAGAGTTCTACAAGTACCCCGAGAATGGGGCCCGGGCCCGATACCCGGCAGAGGGTGAGCGGGGCCTGTGGGGCTATGGCAGGGGACTGCAGGGCTGGAGTGAGCGGCACCGTTGGGGTTTTTGGGGGCTGAGGGTCAGACTAACTCCTCCCACACACCCGCAGACCCGAGCCCCTCCAGGCTCTACATCCGGGAATCCTACATGACACCAGACCACTCCGTACTCCCCAATCGTGGCTACAGGCGCGAAGGTGAGTTGGGGAGCTGGGCCTCGGGTTCCCCATTGGTGGAGGAGCTGCGGTCGCCCCAGGTCTCAGCCCCCTTCTGTGTCTCGCCAGATCTGGATACCTACCAGGGCTCCTACACAGGGGAGCCCCCTGCCCGGCTTTACAGCGACCCGCTACGGCCTGTGAGTGAGGGACACATAGGGCGGGGCCTGCGGGACTGGGGGCGGTGGGGCGGGGCCGGGCCAGGGACACACCCAGAGAACCTAGGTGTCCGGGCACGCCCAGAGCACGAGCATGTGGGCTCCCGCATGCCGGGCGCACGCGATTCAGGGACCGACTGAGCCCCCGCCTGATGCGGGAGGTACACCCCGCTGCATGCTTGGGGAGCGGCGCCGAACACGGAACTACACCCGGTCTCTATACATCACTTCCCGTCCCGGGTCGCCGCCTCCACTGAGGAGAGACCCGCCGCCACTTCCAACGCAGGAACTCCAGGGGCTGCCCAAGATGCCCGGCCCCGCCCCGCCCCTTCCGGGCACCCATTTCCAGCATTGACCCTCGCGCCCCCGGCAGCCCCCGCGCGGCAAATATGCAAGCGATCTGCGGAGATGCAAATAGAACCCGCGCGCCACTCCCTCCGTGGCGTGGCTATGAAAATGAAGGGTTCTTCCCGGAGTGGCCTGTAGAGGGAGGCGTGGGGCGAGGCTGGCAGCGTTGTTGACTGGCCGTGGGATCTCCCCGCAGTGCAAGGAGGAGCCCGGCGCCAGCAGCCCCTGGGGGGATGCGATTGAGAGG